TGAAGGTACTTCTGCTTTGCTTGAGCTGTTCTCTGCCCTCATCCAATTTGACTTTCATGTTCAGATTTAGCCATCACTAGGAATAATTTCCGTGGCTTTGGGCACTATGTATAACTCTGTGTTTTACTCTTGATCTTCCTCTTTTCTCTCTACCAGCTTTCGTTGGCTGTTGAGAGCCTTCTAAGTCTTGACCTTTAAAGCCTTCCCAGTCGTAGTTTGTGGGGGTGTCCAAAGAATTCACCTTTTTCGGCTGTTATATTTGGACACTTTGAGACGGATGCTATCTATCCCTTCACAGATCCAGTGGCAGATGTGCCTCCTTTCCACGGGAGTGAGCCCGTCTTCCATCCCCAGGTGCCATCATCTGTACTTACAGGCCATCATTCCTTGAGAGAAAGCCTAAGGAAAGGCAGTTGTTGAACTGAACAAAACTAGTTTCTTCTAGAACAATCAAATAGTGTCTTATCCCAAATAAAAAGTTAAATTGGTACAGAGTACCCCTAGGCAAGTCTGAATTTTGGACTGGATTTGGGGCTGAGATTGTTTGAACGTTAACAGCCAGAGGCTGAAGTTTACAAGCACTGTTCTTGCAGGCTACCAAACTTCAGAAAGTGGCACTCTACCAGGTGGAAATATGCATGGTTTAGTGCAGTGATTAATAAGAGAATGAAAATCAAAAATAGTAAAAGAGAAAATCCTAGTGTCAGAAGATAGCAGAAGTTATTGCCTGGAATGAAGAGGATATAGTCTTCACATATAAGAATCTTACATGCTAAATTTTTTATAAGAAAATGTCTTAGTTCTTCAACCACCTCTAGGAGGAAAAAGGCCTTAAAAAATATGCTCTGATGACTACAATAATTACAGATTATTCTTCGATACCTGGCAGAGCATCTAAGTAATAAAAAAACCTAAGCATGACAGAAATAGGAAAATGTTTAAAGTTACATAAAACTCAGAATGCAGAGCTGGTGATTTTATATGTATGAGATGTTCTGATTGAAGCAGCGACATTATTAATTTCAGTGGGTAAAAGGTGGCTGAGAGCCAGCCTTTCTCTGGTGAATACTGGCTGCAGATGAAAGCTCAGCCATGGGTGCTGCATAGAGAACACATGGTACTAGTGACCATTTCCACTTTCTGCTTAATAATGCAAGCCCATTCATCGTGGCGCAAGACTGCATGGTATTGCCTACTCCTTCTAGCAAAGTTACCTGTGATTTTCATTGCGGAAAGTGAGAATCACTGTCATTCCACTGCAGAAGGAGCTGGGGACATGAAAGCTCTTTTTTTCTTTTACTCTCTTTTGGAACTGTATTGTACCTTTGGAAGGGTCAGGGTGGCTGCAAATTGGTTAGAGGAACAGCACTCTCTGATTGTTATCAGTGGACTGTCGTGCAGTATTAGCTGTTTATTTCACTGACATATTTGGAAGGGTCTATAGGGGGCTTTTTCAGGAGTCAGGACCTCAGTGTAATATATAAGCATTGACTCTGATATTTCCCTTGATAATAGTACTTGGCCATATTGGGGTCGTAAGTCAGTGAGGTTCATTGGCTGCTGCAATGCACACTGTCACCAGTAATAAGTACAAAGGACCAGCTCTAAAAGCTGGCTTATAAAACTTTAAGGAAACTTGGATTGCTTAAGTGAACTTGCAGGGCGCTGAGGGGGCCAAACAGACCTTAGTTGTCTGCTTATATTAATTTCACAGAGTTTAAGGGGTCAAGAAAGGCAGTCGGTGATGCTTATTAATTTATGAAAGACAGACTCATGTCTGTCTCACTCGTTAGCTTTGACTATTCTGCCTTTCCTTTTAGAAAATTTAATATAAATTAAACCTTACCAGACAAGAGTGCCCTAAAGGATTAAGTCTAAAATTCTCAGTTGGATTGAAATGATCCAATGATGTTATGTTTTTTTGCTGCCACAATTTTACTTGAAGTGATGTTCGAACAATAGAGCCTCATAGCGGATATAAAACATGAGAAGAAAAAGCCATTAGAAGCATACTATAGTTAGTCAAGCATTAGGATATTTTAAAAATATAAGACATTCTTGTGTCTAAGGATTTTCTGTTCTTCTTTCTTCAAGAAATAATGACTCATAAAAGGGGTATCTTGTTGGCCTTAAATTGGGGCATGGTGCTTGTCAAGATGGAATTGTTCATGTGGAATAGCCATGTCTCAAAACATATCTAGCTGCAGAAGCCACACGGCTGCAGAGTGAGCCATGGGAAATGGAACCCTGCCATAGAAACCAAAGCCACACTTCCTAATGGGGATGTTGCTTCTTGGTTGATTTGCTTTTGAGTAAAGGAGAGAAGCCTAGTGTCCTATATATGCAAAGCCTAATTTACTTACAAAAGTTTGATTTTTATCCCTCATTTTGTAGATGAGGCATTGACATTCAAAGAGATTAATATATTTTTAGATTGGGCAGTTAGAAAATAAAGGGATTTTCCTTTCCCCTCCCCTAAGCTGAAGGGCCAGATTGAGAGCACTGCTTTTCTCTCTGGAAACCCTTTTCAACAAACTCACCCCAGAGAGGGGAGAGCATGTGTGTACAGAAGATGGAAATCAGGCCAGCCCCAGTGCCATGGGCATGAGATGGTGCAGGAAATGCAAATCAGGCTGGAAGGTAGAGGCAGCTGTGCAGAGTCAGGGAGCTTAGTGATTTCATGTTTTACTGTTAGGCTAACAAGAGTGATTTGAAAATGTGAAGGAGGAACATCGTTCTATTTACAGATTTATGAGTTTTAGAAAAGGTACATATAGAGAATATTTTTTCTTGTTGAGATCGAGTTGCTGGTGGTGGATAATGTTTCTATAGAGAAAAACTGAAAAAGTTCAATATCTTAGTCAATTCAGGTTCTTGTAAAAAGATGCCACAAAAAAAAAAAAGAACTAAATAGAACAAAAGAAATGAAAACTGAATAGCTAATACACAACAGAAATCCATTTCTTACACTTCTGGAGGATGGGAAATCTAAGATCAAGGTGTCTTCATATTCAATGACTAGTGATGTGGCCCACTTTCTCATAGATGAAGCCTTCTTTCTGTGTTCTAGAATGGTGGAAGGGGTTATCTAGCTCCCTGAGTCTCTTTTATAAGGGCATTATCCCATTTGTGAGGACAGAATCCCTTGACCAAATCACCTTTCATTGATTCAGCTTCTAATGTCATGACCTTGGTTATGAGATTCAAACCTCTAATGCTATCATCTTCTAACACACACCTTCCAGATAAAATTTATAAATCATTTGTTTCAAGGCAGCAGCCAATTGCTAAGGCAAAGGTAATTCTAAAAAAGTGAACTGATTTCTTCTTTTTAAGATGTGTCCAATACTTGTTCTGGGCAGAGTGAGAGGTAGAATATGCAGGATTTGTACTAATAAGAAAAGAGGAACAAATAGAGCTTGTATCGAGGTCTCAAGCATGCAACCAGGATTCTCCTCAAGTAGTTAAATTCTGTTGCTATGTAGAGTAGGAAACAAAAATACCTAAATAGGCATCCTCAGCAGGGTTTTCAGCAAGCTTCATTGTCTCCAGAGACAAAAGTTAGAGCTCAGAATTCACTGTTAGAGTGGTGACAGGATCCAGCAAATGCATCAGATTCTCAGGAGAAAACCTGGGAAGGTTATGCCTCAGAAAAATGAAAGAGGAATCAGATTGAACCCTAACCTTTAGTGCAACACGGACTTGATAAAGCACAATCTCTGATTAAGATGATCAGCTGTTACTCTCTCTGCCTGGAAGAGAGAGGAGAAGATGATCCATGGAGGAAAATAACATCTTCTAGGGTGGGGGTGGTGGAACTATGGCACATGAGCTGCTGCAGGATGTTTCTACTATTGAAAAGGTTCACCATCGCTGATCTAGGGTATTCAGAAGTTTTGGAAATAGTAGCTATTAAATTAATAAACAATAGGTATACCAAACCACAGGACCATGTGAGTGAAAACCAAGGGAAAAATCATCCATGAGGACAGTTCCACAAATGATTCAGCTATAGATATTAGTTAATAAGACTTTTAAATTAACTGATATTTATACTTTAGAATATGGAGAAGGGAGCTGAAAATATAGAGACTGTGCCACAGGTTTTGAGCTATAAAGTAAATGAGCAGTTCTAAAAGTGGAAAATAAAATACCAGTAACAGTAATTGTGACATAACTGTAAGAATTGTTAGTGAGCTACAAGACAGAACACTAGAATATGTGAATGCTAAAATACACAGAGGAAAGGATAGAAAATACAGGAAGGAGTGTTAGAGAAACGTGGGAATCAGTCAGTATAGATAACTTAGTAGAATTCCAGAGGGAAATGATAATGAATCAAACAAAAGCAATATTTAAGAGTCAGTGATTGGGTGTTTTTTTGGACCTGGTGACTGATGTGAATCTATAAATTCATGGAAATTATAAAATGTTAATAAGTATAAATAGGACGTCAGAGCATTTTATTGTAAACCAACATCATAAGAGAACTGCTAATAATCACAGACAAAAAGAAAAATGTACATTACCTGTAAAAGAGCAATTATATATCTGATACTTGACTTATAAACTAAAACAATGGAAGTCCAAAGACAATGGAATTATATTGTTAAAGTACTAAGAAAGGAGGATAGGTTTAGGGAGGTTAGAACTGGTCAGACAGGATATGGAAAGAACAAGTGGTAGGTTTTTAGAATATTAAGGCATCTCATCAGAAGTGAATGTGAAGTAGACAAGAGTAATGATGATAAAAATGGAGAGAAGAGGATAATTATGATGAATGTTTAGATCAAAACCTTCAAAAGAAGTAAACAAACTCGCCCATAAGCTCTCACAAAGACCCTACCTCAACTCCATGATTGCTTTCTCCTTTTTTAGGGGCTTCCTTAGTCCCCTCACGAATCATCTGGTGGACTGAGATGGAAATACGTCTTTTCCGTAAGCCTGTCTCTTCCACAACCTTATTCTCTCTCATTCTTGTCTTCCTATCTGATGCTTAGGCAGCAGCTGAGTACATCTGTGGTTGTCTGTGGAGAATTCCGTGGGATACCATGATAGGACCTTTGGTAAGTGACATCAGCTCTCACCCCAATCCTGTATTATCCAAGTGTGTGACGGAGCACAGGGCTATAAATAAATGGGCATAGCCATAAGTCAGAGGCTGGGTTAGGTAGTTGTGATGCCTTCTTAGAAGTCTTTCAGTTGATGGAAACCTGGATAAAGATAGGCTGAACTCATGTCAGACTTAACTATTTCCAAAAGATTGGATATTTTTTACTTGTAGAATAGGATTTCAGGCATAGCAGTTTCTCCTTTTCTGTGGGTGAGAGCTTCCAAGGTGTTCAGTGAATACTTGAACTTGTAGATAGTACTAAACCTTATGATTTCATGCTTTTTCCAAGCTAACTGTTGTAGTCATGGGTTGCACAGAGAACAATTAAACTTAGGACATGGTATTTATAATATTTTTATGATGGCCACCCAGAGTTAACACAAGAAAATGCAGGAAATCTATCCACAACACTAAAGACATAGAATATTTAGCCAAGGGCCTGAATCCCACAGCAATGTCCCACATGAGTCCAGATGAAAACTCAGCTCATGACAGTGCCTCCCATGAGTTCAACTAGAGGTCTAGAGCCCACAAGAAGGACTCACACCAGTCTCTTTTACAGATCCATGCCGGGAAGGCCCAAAGGTCAGTGGTGGAAGCCAGAAAGTCCATGCCAGTGGGGTGATGGAGCTGTGCTGGTAGGTTGATGGTTCTATGCTGGAGCTACACTCACAACAAAGACTAGGGCTGTCCTGTAAAGCACCACAGACATTCTCAGCGACATGAAGGCCCTGAGCTCGAGTACATGCCAGGAAGTCGAGTACATGCCAGGAAGCCAGCATGCTGAGTTCATCCTGGAGACCAAGTGGCACACATCTTCCCCTCTGGAGCCAGGAAGCAATGCTGGATGTGAGGACCAGAGCTTCTCTAGGAGAACCAACAGCTCAAATGGCAACTTGTAGGAGAACCCATAATGAAATGCCTCAATGCAATAGTTTCTCCTTCTCCATGTCTCTATTTATGCTGGCAACTTTCCTCAGGTAGAAGGGACATCTATGCTCCAGCGCTATGCTGATGTAATCTAGCTGGTGTTACGTTGACCACCAGTTCTTAATCCATAACACTAAGTGCTTATAAAGCATAGTGGCTGTAACTTTTGCATTTTGGAGTGTGACAAAAACTAACATAAATTTTTTTTTCTTTCTTTATAATTTTATGAAAAGATTATATTGTCATAGATCTTAGCAATCTCAGGATACAATTTATTTTCTTTCCCTATTAAGTTGAGAACTTTGCCTTTGTTATTTAAAGGAAACATTTTATAGCTTCTCATGGTGTATATGAATTGACAGTATAATTACTCTTGCATGTTGGAGCCATTATTAAGTAAAATAAAAGTTATTTGTACATAGGTACTATAATAGTGCCGCAGTCAGTCTAATAACAGATGGCTACTAAGAGCACATTGATGTAGTGGTTAAAAGGATGATTTCAGTGTGGGAGAAAGTCAGAGCTGTGAGGCTTTTATTATGCTCTGAAAATGGTTTACAACTGAATACTTATGAAATGCTTATTTTTGGAATTTTTCATTTGGTATTGATTGACCACAGGTCACTAAAACCTCAGAAAAAATAGTTGCAGATGGAGCCATGGAAAGGAACTCTCATAGTATCTGTACAAGGTGGTCCCAGCTATAGGATCTGGCACAGGCCAGTAAGGGCAAGATCATATGTCACTGGTCTGGAGGGATTGAAGAGAAAGACAGAACACTAACATAGACCATGCATCAGGAGAAGGCACTGAGGGCCACAGATTATACTAGCTTGTTCCTTTACCAGGTGCATAGGGATCTTTGAACATATAATGTATCTTTGGTCAGGAAGCAAAGGGAAAATTAAAAAGATGAGATAGAGCAGGACCACTTGAGCAAAATATAGTCACGACAATTAAGAAGGGCAACAGAAGTAAATATAATTACACTCTTTAGAAGTTCAACTTAGCTCTATGTAAGAATAGAATTCGGCTTCCTTAGTTCCAGCCCATGTGAGTGTTTGAAAAGCAGGAACTGTTTAATTTATTGTTTTCTATCATTGCTGTAACAAATTAATATGAATCTAATAGCCTAAAACAACACAAATTTATTCTCATACAGTTCTAAAAGTCAGAATTCTAGAGCCAGGGCATCTACAGAGCTGTTATGGTTTGTATCTAAACTGTCTCTCAGAAGTCTCTTGTGTTCAGAGATGGGGATTTTGGAAGGTGACTGGATCATGGGGGGTCTATTCTGGGGATGAATGGGTTAGCCCTTTGATGAGTGCATAGCTGAATGTGACGTTAGAAGATCGTCTTGGTTGGTGGAGGTTGAACCCTGGGGGCATGACCTGGGGGGCTATGCTCTTCTTTCCGGCCCCTCACCCCTCTTTCTTCATTATTCAGCAGCCGTGGTCAAGCAGCTTTAGCTTGCCACACCCTCCCACCGTGCCATCTCTGCCTTGGACCCAGCTGCCCAGCTCCCTCTTCCAAAAGACCTTGTGATCATGTTGGTCCCTCTAAGATGACTGACTCAGTCTGTCCATTTTGCTTTCATCACATCTGTAAAGTTCCTTTTGCTACAGAAAGCATTATATTAACAGGTTCTAGAGATTATGATATAGTTGTCCTGTGGGGGTGTTCCTATTAAGTTTGCTGTAATTTGATTTATTTTATTGTGATACAATCTACACAGTGACAAAATTTACCATCCCTAACCATTTTTAAGGGTATGGTTCTGTGGCATTAAATTCATTCACATTGCTGTGGGACACTACCATCTACTAGGATGGTTTTGTCTTTCCCAGTTGAAACTCTGTATCCATTAAACACTAACCCCTTATTCTTTGTCCCTCACTCCTAGGCTCTGGGAGCCTGTGAGCTTGACAGCTCTAAATACCTCCGAGAAGTGGAATAAAATATTTGCCTTTTCTCAACTGACTTATTTATTTCATGTAATGTCCTCAAATTTTATCTGTGTTGTTGCATGCACTAGAAGTCCATTCTTTTTAAAGAGTAAATAATATTTTCTCCTAATACATACCATATTTTTAGAAATCCATTTACTTTTGATAGATATTTGGATTTCTTCTACCTTTCAGCTGCTGTGAAAGTGTGTGCTTCTATTTCTTCTAGGTATACATCAAAAAGTAGAATTTTTTGAGGAATGTCTCCTATCTCATACTTCTGTTTTGTGTAATAATTTTCTTTATGGGAGTGAAGTCGCATGGTATTGTTTTTTGTTTCTTTAATGATCAGTGATGTCTACTATATGTATTCTGTGAGTGATTTGTGTACCTTCTTAGCTGAACTCTATTTAAATTTTGTGTTTATTTAAAAGTCAAGTTACAGAGCTTTTTAGTTGTAAGGGTTCTATATATATTATGAATATAAATCCCTTATATATTTGATAGCAGATATTTTTCCCATTAGGTATCTATTTTCATTCTGCTAGTATTTTTTGATTTATGAAAGTTTTAAGTTTTGGTGAAGTCAAATTTATTTATATTCTCTTTTATTCCCAGTGCTTTTGCTGTCATATCCAAGAAATCATCATAAATTCAGTAAATTGAAATTTTATGCTCTTATGGCAGAATTTTGTGGTTTCAGCTCTTACAATTAGGTTTTATATCTGGTAAGTTAGTTTTTGCAAATAGTATGAGTCTAGTTTAATTCTTTTGTATATAGATATGCATTTCCCTGGAAATGTGTTGAAAAGACTGTCCTTTCCTTATTGAATGACCCTAGCATCCTGGCCAAAGGTCACTTGATCATGTATAATAGGGTTTATAACTGGGCTTTTTAATCCTCTAGATTATATGTGTGTCTTTTTGCTAGTACCATACTGTTTGAATTACTGTAGCTTTGTGATGAGTCCTGTCAGAAAGTAATAAATAATTATTGCCATGTTGAGAATGATTTCTGTGGTTATAAGTTACAAGGATTCTGGGGAGTTCCAGTAAAGATGGCAGATAGATAAGAGTAGATTACAGAGGCTCTCTGAGATAATCAATTTAGATGCCAAAATAAAACAGCGTTGGGAGTCCTGGACAGAGAGACATGGGTCCTCTTGACCCAGAAAGAAACTAAGGTGAGAAGAACCAATCAAACATGCAGTCCTGGTGCTACTAAAGGTTTGGTTCTCCCGCTGCAGTGCCCGAACTCACGCGGCTGTGACTTACCCAGCTGCCTGAATTCTCAATGTTTTGACTCACTGGAACCACAGCTGCACTGAGGTTAGGGTTGGTGGGCCCAATGGAGAGCCAAGTTGACAGGGAACCTGCATTGACCTGTGGTGAATGCTGGAAATAAAACCCTTCCACAGAAAAGGGTATCTATCATTCCTACAGGACGACATCTTGAAACCGGGCAGGACTCACAAGAACAAGGAACAGCAGTGGATTCAGTCAATTGTTCCCTTCCCAGACAAGACTGGTGAGGTGTGCTTGGCCTGGGTCATGCCCCTGGCTGAGACCCATTAAATTGTCCTAAACCAATTCCCTACATGCGGTGCATGCTAACACAGTGAAGGCCTCAGCAGGTTGACTGATCCGGAGGAGAGGGGCCAGATTCGCTGCCCCTGGTTTGTACCACAATAGCACACTGGAAGGGGCAGGATCACCTAGCCAACATGCTTCAGAAGAACTGTAGCCAACAAAGAAAGAGACTGGGGCCTCCTCTATACACCTGTATGGAAGGAACAAAAAAAATGAGAAGAGGAAGCAACAAGAAAAAGTCCCCAGCCCCCAACCCTGAGAACATTGATCCAGGAGAGGCAAATACAAAAGTGATTGAGGGCAGCAAATACGCAGTATCAGACATGGCATCAGTGGACATAAAGACATATCTTTGGGACCTTATAGATGAGTTCAAAAGTGAAATATTTAACCAAGTAAAGCAAGATATAAGTAGATTAATAAAAGACATGCTAAGCACCTCTCAAGAAGATACATATGGAAGAATAGAGGAACACAAAAAAGGATAGAATTGTCTGAGGAAAAATAAAAAGAAAATATACAATACATGAAGCAGGTTCAAAGAGATTAGCAGGAAATCAAAACTCCATTGAAAGCTGGCAAAACTGCTTGAAAGAAACTAAGGATAGATTATCCAAACTGGAGGACAAGTTTGCAATGTGGGATCATGAAAGGAAAAAATTTCCTAAAAATAACAAGGAAACAAGGAGTAACAATACAAAGGCAACAAGACGATCTATAACTTAAGAAAAAAGAATGTGAATGAAGAAGCAGGGGGACAAACAAAGGAACTACAAAGGCTATTCACAGAAATAATTAAGGAAAACTTCCCAAACAGGAAAAGGGAATGATATTCAAATGTATGAGGCATACAGAACTCCAGCCACCTACAACCAAAACAGAGCTACACCTAGACATATAATAATCAAGCTCCCAGAAATGCAATATAGGAACAGAATATTAAAAGCTGTCAGAGACAAGAAACAGATTACTTACAAAGGAAAACCCATCAAAATCACAGCATACTTCTTGACACAGACCATCAAATCAAGAAGAGCTGGGGGCAAAGTATTCCAAGTCCTGAAAGAAAATAACCTCCATCCCAGATTGATGTACCCTGAAAAACTATCTTTAGAAGTTAATGGAGAAACAAGATGCTTCCCAGACAAAGAAGAACTGGTGGAATTCGTGACCACCAATCCAACTCTACAGAGAATACTACA